ATTCAACGAAAGGAGACTGCGACCACACAAAAGGCCACACCATCTTGGTCTTTATACCTTCGATTAAATGTGCTTTCTAACTTAAGCATTTTCAAATTGAGCTCTGTATTTATCTGATAAAATTGATGACAAACATGATCCTATAGCTAAACCTCGTGTTTGTTCATAAAATAGATACATTACATCGCTAGATTGGTCCATATCATTATTGACCCTTTACTTAACTTCGTGTTCATTAAAATACCCACATGTTGGTGGATTGTAGGGCCTGTATGGCATCATCTACATGATTGTAAGTATAAATAGACTCAACATTAAAATTTGCCAGAAATTCTCCACATTCTTTCTTCTGCTTGTCGACTAAGTTAACCAATTCATGAGAATTATTGACTGAAACCTTAAACGTTACAGAGATTTGCCTTAACTGGTTACAAATAAATCCGGAGGCTCTATGCATCATTCTACTCCCAATTATTCACAATAATTCTAAGTGACACTCCATCTTTAGGTATTCTGAGCGGACCATTTGCTTAGCGTGTTCATCTTCCACTTCTCTAGTTCCCCGTTTGTTACACAATGTTGCAGTCAGCCCCTGGGTCTAGACTCAAGGGTTTATGTTGGGTCTCTACTAATTACCTTGTATGTGGTAATATCATCCAAAGCCTGCGTCATTTTTTCTAGATAGCTCAACCTATCCAAAACTACCACTGCCCCTTTGTCTGCCCTCAACACCATTTTGTCCTCATTATTTAGTGTTCTTATGGTGGTTTGCCCTCTCTTATTCCTGGCATTTAATTAAATGGAATGCAATCAGACACGATAATATTGCAGGATCAAAAGCATAAACATTTCAGGGAAGGATGTAGTCGTTCGGCCCCAATTGCATCCTTTTCCCACTTCATCTGCAGCCACTTAACATATCCGCAGCCACTGAATTTAAGTTTTTAGCAAACATTTAGGCAAAGCACTGGATACCCAACCAAAACATGAGATGCATAAGTGGGCTAAACTGGACTATAGACGTAAAGCCAGCCCCTTTTATTACCTTCGTGTTTTTGGTGAATTATCTTTAACCATGGTGTCCTGTTCTGACAATGACCGTCATGACGGACGAAAGCTCAGCAGCGCGATGCGCCGAGGACCTATTCGCACAAATCTACAATCACAGCTCTAAGCCCTCCCCCTCATAGCTTCGGGTAGTACCAACTAAAAACAGTAAAAATCCACAATCTGAAAGCAAATAACTGCAAGTTAATTCGTCCAGATGACAATGCAATAACAAAATGTCACTCCAAAAATAGGCAAATTATCTTAGACTACATAGACTATTCGGTATTAAATAAACGCAATGCATTGTAAAAAAAATATTAAAATGAGGTTTAGTTAACCAGCTACCTGACATCTCTGATGGTATGCGATGCTCTGCTGCTAAACGGCTGGCTCCCAAAAGACCTCCGGATTCAGCTCGACTGCTAGAGGCAAGTAAGCTACTGCTTGGTGTAATGCTAACAGAAGAGACAGCAGCTTTTTTCATTTTGCTGAGAGCTGCCTGAAATCTGCCGCGACCGCGAGCAAAAAGATTGCTAGAGTTGGATCCGGGACTATTTGGGCAGGTATCATTGCCACTGGCAGCAATAGATGGAAATCCACATTTTGAGAAATCATAAGTGAAAAGGTTGGAATTTGGTTTTGTTTTACTACTTACATCAGAAGATGACATGGGATTTTCTGAATGGTAAATAAAAAGATCAAACTTAAATAACGTAGTTTATGTGGATTAAAGAGGATTAATCGCCAAAATAGATTCCTTAGGAATGTAAAAATTTACTAGGTTGAGTTAAGAAAATTAATTATAAAAATAGAGAATATACGATTCTTGGGTAAATCTTAACAAAAAACAACTAGTAGGGTATATGGTATGTTGGCTAAAGTAGGATACTTAATAGAATGGTCAAAAACAGAACACTTTGTAGGCTAAGAAAACTTCGGATACAAGGGTAAAATTTGGAAGTTTACATAAATAAATAAATAATATAGTCAACACCTGAATAAAAGAAACGACTGTGGCAAATTAAGCGCGAATGAATTATAGCTGTTGGATGGGCCTAATAGAGTGAGTGAATAGAAAGAATTACTAAGTGGCCTAAAATAGCCTCAAGTCTGGTTAGTGATATCACACCTGATATGACTTTAATATTGCATGCATACAATACACAATACCACATACATAAACATGCGACAGCACTAAAAGATGGCACGCTTATTTATTTATGTAAAAGAATAATTGCAAGTGCATCAAATTCCTTTTCATAAATTGAATCACCCCAGCAGAGATAATGTAGGATAGGTATGAAGTAATCGACCAAATAATGAGGCGTCAGATTAGGATAGAATAATTAGGAATAAAAAGTGAATAGGTTTGCAATCAGTAATCTTTTCTCTTCGTTCCGCAATAGTGCGCATTTCCCTAAATTGTGGTTCCTCAATTTGACGATGCCACGGGACAGAGAGATCAGCAGGGATTCCATGGGTTCGTAGTAATATAAAGCAAGGAGTATCAAAGGATCTGCAGAAAAATGGATAGAAAAAAAATCAGAATTAGCGGAACGCATTGAACAGAGTGGATACGAGATCAATTGGAAGGCAACTGAAAGAATGGCCACATGTGGAAAAAAGACAAGGAAACGGAAATGTAAGGAGGCTAGTGACACACTTGGGGGAATAAATTTAATGAATAGGAGATAGGAAGAAGGCATAATTAGCGACAACGCTGCCTATTACTTAAGTAAGCCTAGAGGAAACATGGATACGTCAAGATCAACAAAAGAATCTATAGGTATGAAGACCAAGATGGCGTGGTCTTTTGTGTGGCCGCAGTTTCCTTTCGTTTTATAGAAGTTGTTTGACCTTGTTTTCGCAACTCGTTCATATTGGTAGGAAGACTTAGAGGAACACATCTAGTCCGGAATGTCTGGGAATGTATCACGTCCACGGTCCGACTTTGGAAATGTTCATGGACTCCGGACTAGATGTGTTCATTCAAGTCTTACTACCAATATGACCAAGTTGTGAAAACAAGGTCAAACAACCTCTATAAAAGGATCTATAGTTAACCAGAGGAAAAGGAATAGCGAGGAGAAAGGAAGGGAATTTCGTAAATCAAGTGGAGACGTTCTTAGTGAGTGGAATAGGTTCGAAGAAGTGGGTACAACTTTGGGGCTTGGTGGTCACGGAAGTAGGGAGATTCGAAGAAAAGTTAGGTTTCGAGGAATCTCTTGTTTCATAATTGTTGAGCTTACTTCTATTTCGAGTGAAAGCGTTGGGTGAAG